CGGAGCGCCCACTATGGCCCCCACCCCTCACGGATCGACCCTCGGTTCGGTCAACAAGGCCGCCGCTCGTGTCAGTCGGCCTGACTGGCGCAGCGCCAGTCGCAGGCGGGCCTTGAGACGGCTCAGTGGCAGCCCTCTCGCTCCCGGTGGCCCGCCCGCCGTGGCACATCACCCCAGCGTCGACGTCGCTCCCTCGCTGCCCTCGGTGGAGCCGGCGCGGCCGCCGCACAGCATGAAGCCATCTGGCGCCTCGCGCCGTGGGCTGTGGCTGCGGCTGTGCCTCTGGCGGCGGCTGGCTGCACCTGCGACAGCATCCTCTCCTGCCTCTGCGGCAACGGCGGCACGGCCGTGCGGCGATGGCGGCAGGGCGCCGCGGCCTCGGTGGCTGCACGCACCTGGCCGCGCTGACGCCTGGCGAGCCAGCGCATCTCGTAGTCCCTGCTGGCCATCAGGGCGACGTGCACGTTCTGCAGCCTTTCTCTCAGCACGTTGAGCTGCCCTCGCCTTGCGGGCTGCCTCAGCCGTGGCAGCCGCAGCAGCATCCTCCTCGGCGCTGACTGGCACCTCGACGGCGTCGGCGGCGGCGGGTCCAGCAGCGCCCCATGCAGCACCCACGGCGGCGCCCGCAGGCGGGGGCCCCCCCTGGGGGCCTCGGGCCACAGATGCGTCGGCCGGCACGGGGTAGGCCGCGGCAGGAGCCTCGGGCCTGGGCGCGGGGGCCACTGGCCCCAGGCGCTGGGGGGGCCCTGCAAAGGGCCGCACCTCAGGCGCAGGCGCGTCGCCATGCGCCGCCCCACCGCGCGCCGCCGCCATCTGGCCCTGCATCGTCGTCAGCAGCTGCGTGAGGCCGACGAGCTGCTGGGTGAGGGCCGCCTGGCCAGCCTGCAGCTCGGCGATGGCCGCGATGGGCGGCGCGCGGTCGGGCGGCGTGGCTGGGGCTGCATCGCCCTCAGCGCCCGCGACGGGCGTCGGCGTGACGGGCTCCTCCATCGGCTCGTCGCCCGTGGGGACCATGGCCTCGAGCTGCTCCAGGAGCGTCTTGGCGCGGCCGAGGGCCTCGGCGCGCTGACCCACCTTGGCCTCCAACTCCGCGAGCTCCTCACGCGCCCGCGCAGCTGCGGCCTCGGCCTTCTCCAGCGTGGCCTGCGCCCGCTGGACGAAGCTGCGCTGGCGGTCGCATCGTGCGCCAGCTGGGCGGGCCAGGATGATCATGCTGAGCTGCACGGCGTACTCCTCCTCCTGCGGCCGCCTCTGCTCCAGGCTCATGCCGAGCTCGATGGCTGCCTGCAGCCTCTTGCCCGTGGCGGCCGCCATCTGGCGCAGTGAGCGCCTGTGGGCCGTGAGCCCGCGCTCATCCGACGGCGGCTCGACCCAGGCTGGGTGAGCTCGCGCGTCCGACGGCAGCGCGGGGAGGATGCCGAGCGCGGGGCTGCGGCCGTCCTCGTCGCCATCTGATGCATCAGATTCGCCTCCAGCAGACCGCCTCCGTCGGCCATCGCCGTCGGCGGAGCGCCGGCGGCGGCTCGAGGCCGACCTCGGCCGCGCATCGCCTCCGCCGTCCTCAGTGCCCTCGTCCTCGAAGCGGACTCGCGAGGCTGACCGCGGCCTCGGCTCCGCCTCCGGCTGACGTGCCTCGCCCTTGCCGCCGCGGCGGCGACGCCTCGAGGCAGAACGAGGCTGGCGGCCGTCTCCGCGCGGGCCCGCGCGCGGGCGAGCTGTCCCTCCTCCGTCTCCATGAATTGGTCCATGCTCGGGAAGAGGGAAGCAGGAGCGGCACAGGGCGTCAGCAGGGCCATTGAGTCCTCCGCACGTCGGGCACCACCATCCAGGCGGCGGCGGCGGCACGGCCCACGGGGGAGTGCTGCCACTCTGCCCGCTGTGGCCGCCGCCCGAACTGCCCTTGCCGCTGCCCTTGCGGCCCTGGCCGCCTTTGCCCCCGCCTCCAGCACGGCCTGACATCAGCCCGTTGCTGTGGTGCGCACGCAGCCTCGCCGCGGCAGCGGCTACTCGCAGCAAGGTGCGCGACTGCGTGCGCCGCTCGCGAGCGCGCCTGTGCCAGGCGGGCTCGCGCACTCGCAGCCGGGGCCGCGCCCTGCGCGAAGCGGGCGCCCGCGCCGTCGCGCGCCCGCCCACTCCGGGGGCGTCGCACGCCGCAGCGCAGCAGCACGGCCGGCCCGCGCGCCACCAGCGAGGGCGCGGGCGAGCGCGTATGGCCGCCGAGTCCCGCGAGGCTCCGCAGGTATCCTGCATACCTGCACCCAAAAGCCTCGGGCCGGGACGGCGGCTGCAAGGATGGGGAGGAGGGAGGAGGAGGGGGAGGAGGAAGGAAGGAGTGGGGCGGGGCGCTGTCTCGTCAAAACGAGGACCCAACACCACAGGATGGTTGGGAAACAACACTCAGCCCATCGAGCGCCAACAGAAATTTCTGGCGGCAGCGGCGGGACAAGCTTGGTGAGAGTGCGACACCGTCAGGAAAGTCAAGGGACATGCCCGTGCCGCGCCAGGATGTGTACTTCCAAGACATATGTTGCAAGCCTGGCATGATCTCGCCGACCGCTGGGCTAAAAAAGGTGTGGGCCTCTGGAGGACCCCAGCCAAGCATGGTCTTTTCACGGAGGTTTGTGCTGCCCATGCGCGAGAACTTGCTCATTGGATAGGCAACCTGCACGCTTGGCAGGTTGAACATGATCTGAGAGACACGGACGGGGTGGCCGGCACCCCAGATGTGGCTATTGAGCTAGACCTCGCAGAGGACGAGGATTTTTTAGATGAAGTCTTCGCCGACCGTGAGAGGCTTGGGTTGAAGAGTGTCGATTGCGTTCCTTCGTCCGTGCCCGAGCCCGAGGCCCGGGAGTTTGAGGACGGTGTCGACGGTGCGGGCTTCGGGGAGGTCTCGGGGTTGCCGTGGCGTTCTCTGGGGCACTCCACTGTCAAGTGCGATGTCGGAGGGGAGTGCGACGGCCTTTCCACGCTCCACGCTTTTCCTTTGCAAGTCATGTGGGGCTTCTGTGGGCCAGAGGTTCTCCACGGGGAGAGGGTTGGCGGGCAGGTGCTTCGGGGCCCAGCACGCGGGGCTCAAGACCCAGCGTTCTCTCCTCAGGCGCCGCAGGCACCCCTCCGCCGCCTCGCCTAAGGGGCTCTCTCGGTTCACAGGTCTAAGCGAGAGCGATGTCGGCTGGCTGCCTGAGAAGCAGGTGGGGTCCCAGTCTGGTGTTCCTGGAGTTGCTGGGGGTGCGCTGTGCTCTGGGCCCGCTGGCGGGCCGCTTGGGGAGTCTGGGTTCGGTGGCCGTGAGGGGCCCGTCAGTTTCTGGAAGTACGGGGTGAAGGTCGCTCGCCTGCACGGTTTGATTCGTCCGATGCGGCGGTTGAGTGGGCGAAGGAGTTGAGGCGGGCGAAGCTGGCCAAGGATATTGATTCACAGCGTTGACTTTTCCCAGACGAGGAGTGGGCCTAGTTTGGGCCAGCCGCGTAGCGGCGCGTGCCGATGTACCAGAATCATTACCATGACCGTCTCCTCCTCCGCCTCTTACTCTGGATCGCCCTCCTCCTCCTCCTCCTTCTCCTCCTCTTCGTTCCTTTCGTCGTCTTCCTCGCAACACAAAGCAAGAGGTCAGGCCGAGCTGCACAGACGAACTCACACACAGCTCACAGGCGAGCACCGAGAAAATACACCACCTCCTCCTCCTCCTCCTCCTCATCATCATCATCATCATCATCATCAGCAGCAGCAGCATCAGCATCATCATCATCATTCTCATCAGTATCACCATCATCGTCACCACCATCACGATCAACATCGTCATCATCATCATCATCATCATCATCATCATCATCATCATCATCAAAGCATCATCAAAGCATCATCATCATACAGCGACTTGTCGGCATTTGTGGGTTTGCATGTGGCCGCACCTCCTGGCTCAAGTTCTTGAGGGAATGCAGGCATTGTTCGAACGCCTCACGCACGATCTCGCCAGTGCCTTCTCCACAGCTCTCATCGTCCGAGGCAGTTCGCCTCCGTGTCCCGCCTGCGATTGCGTGTGCTCGCCCGCGCTGCACTGTCCCGCGCTGGAGCGCCGCTGCCCAGGCGGCTTGGGTGCGGTGACCGCCGCCCCCTCGGAGGCCTAGGCCTCGGGCTTCTCGGGCACCGCGCTGGGCACCTCGCTGCTCCTCGGCGCGCTGGGCGGCTGGTCGCTCGCCCGCTGGGCCTCGCGCTGCGCGGCGCCCTCGACTCGGGGTAAGCCGTTCGCGCTGGAGGCAGACGTGCGCACGATCGACTTGGCGGCGGAGGCGGCAGCGCAGGCTGCGCGCTTTCGCAGAGCATAGTCGCGATGGCGACGCCCGCCGCTGGCCATTTCCACCCGGTGAGGTACAACGTGGGCGGCCCTGCGATCTACCACGAGCGCTTGACGCTGTTGCCTGGGTACATTCTCACGCCCGACGGCGATGACTATGCCGAGGTCGCCATCCCGAATCACGACATCCGATCGATTCACATTCTCAGTGGCCAAAGTGAGGGGCTTCCAGGGATACCGCCTCAGCATCTATATCAGTTTCGGCAGCTGCCTCGGGCCGCTGAGGTGTGGGCGGCGCTTCGCCGCGCGACGGCCCAGGGGTTCGGAGCGACGCCTGCGTCGCCGTTCTGCATCGACCTGAGTGCCACCAACGTGCTGGGACTGGCCGCTGGCGCGTTGCCGCTCCCCGACCCTGCAGCCGTCGCGCCTGGCGCGGGCGCTGGGGCCCTGGCGCCTGCGGGGGTCCCAGGGTTGCCAGGCGGCGCCGCCCCCGCGGCGGGCGCCCTGCCGGCTGCTGGTGCCGCCGCCGCGCTGCCCGCCCTCGGCGGCCCTGCAGCTGCTGGACCCCCCGCTGGAGCTGGCGGTGTCGGCGCCCTGGCGGCCGCCCTCGGTGGCGGAGGAGCTGGAGCGCCAGCCGCCGCGGCTCCAGTGCCTGGTGCCGCGCCCGCCGCCGCGGCGCCGCCTCTCGTCGGAGACCCGCGGGTGATGGCGCTGGTGCTCGACGGCCGCGGCTTTCGGGACATCACCTTCAGCGACGCGGTGAAGCTGCAGACGGAGACGGTGAGGGCCGACTGGCCAGTCAAAGGCCCTCGGACGCTGCCCTGGGTCCTCGGGTTCATGCTGCGCATGGCTGGAGGTGCTATGGCATGGCACAATAGATGGATTGCGATGATGCAGCTAGGAGAGTCCGACGAGAACGTGAAGCTCCACGAGACCTTGTGCCGCGTGCTAGAGGCCGCCCTCTGCCGCGACCAGCTGGTGATATGCGAGCTGGCCTCTTACGAGTACCTCGCCCGTCAGCTTCAGTTGGTAGAGCGCGTGTTCGAGGAGCGCGCGCGCAGGAGCCAGCCCGTGCCGAAGGCCAAGGCTCAGGCCAAGGAGCTGGGGGCTGCGGGCTTCGGTTCAGAGGTCGGCCACTTCTTCGGCGCGGGTGAGACGAAAGGGAACGTGTGCATCTGTCCTGCTTTGATGGATTGGATCGCCGATCAGATGAAGATGGAAGCATCTGTCGCGAAAGAACGCCGCAAGGCTCGTGAGGAGCGAGCCTTGCGGGCGCCATGACACCCCCTCAGGACCCTGGCCAGGATGGGCCTCACGAGCCTGTTCCCGTCGCTCGTGAGCCTGGCCAGGATTGCCCAGAGGCCCTCGCGCCTCCGCCTGGTCTGGACGCGCCCACGCGTGGTGCCGATCGCCAGCGCGACGTTTTTCCGCTACCTCGTCTTCCTGTGGATGGGCGCCGCCATCTTCCGCTGGGCCGCGTTGCTCGTCTGCGCGCTGCCAAAGGTGCGGGCTGGCGCGAGTGGTGCAACGAGGGGTTCACCGCTCTCAACTGGCTCCATAGTGGCCGCGACGCGGAGCACCTCCCGCAGGTCGGTGGCGACCCGCCCGCCGTGCAGGCTGCCTCGGTGGACTACCTCTCGAGCCTGCATCGGGAGTTCGAGCTGCCTGCCGCCTACTCGGAGAGGAGCAGCGCCTGCGAAGCACCCCTGGTAGAGATGCTCGCTCAGGCTCCTGGCTACGCTGGTGACAGCGGTCGGGTCCGCCCCTACAGCCAGCCTCTCGCGGCCTGGCCCAAGTCGACGAAGGCTGTGTCCATCTCCGACGTCGTCTCGGATGCCGGCTCCATCGCGCTGCAGGGTTGGAGGCAGACTACGCTGAATTCCGAGTCGGTTGCTGCGGGGCTCCGCGACGCGCTGGGCATTCAGCGCCCGTACGTCGATCCCGAGCTTCGCTATCAGCCTAAGTCTCACGCTCAGTTTTCGAAGCAGCTGGAGGCTCACGACATGATATCATGGAGAGCCGCCAGTTCTCAGTCTTCTCACACAATCGGTTTGTTCTTCGTGGAGAAATCCAATCACGTGCTTAGGCTCGTGTTTGACACTAGGCTGGCTAACTGCAGCTTTGCCACGCCGCCAGCCACCAAGCTTCCCACGCCCAGTGCGTGGGCCAGTGTCGATTGCGACGACAGCTTCGTTTTTGCACAAGGCGATATTCAATGTGCCTTCTACCACTTGCGCTTGCCTCCAGGGATGGAGTCGCTGTTCTCGCTGCCCGCGATCTCCAATCGTCACATCGGCCTCACATCGATTAATGGGAGGCCCGTCGGTATCCACGGTTTTGTGCAGCCGTTGGTCACAGTTGTTCCCATGGGTTGGAGCTGGGCCCTTCACTTTTGTCAGAGCGCCCTCGTTCGTGCCTTAACCGACGCTGGATTCGACAGTGGGGACATGATCGTGGACGGAGGATGCCCCCGTAAGCTAATCTCTCACACCGACGCCATATGTGCTGGATACGTTGGCAATTTCTGCGTTGTGTCAAAAAAAACCTTGAGATTGCCACTCGCCGTGCTCGTGAGGTCGCCGACCTTCTAACGTCCCGAGGCTTGCCTGTCCTGGAGTTCTCGGAGGCCGTCAGTAAGGGTGTCTTCACGGGCTTGCAGATTGACGGTCTCTCGGGTGTCGTTCGAGTTCGGCCCGATCGCCTCGCGCGTGCGCGGCAGGCTGCACTCGGACTCTTACGACGTGGTCGGGCCTCTGCGGGGGCTCTCAGCGTGCTGGTGGGCCACTGTACTTGGGGTATGATCTTGAGGCGGGATGTCTTGGCGATCTTCAACTCAGTCTATCGGTTCATCAACGTGGCGGGCGCTCAACCCGCGCCTCTTTGGGATTCCGTTGTTAGGGAATTCCGAGCCGCAGTTGCCTTGATCCCCCTCTGGAGCGCCTCTACTAGGTCCAGGTGGTCGTCTAGGGTCTACGCGTCTGACGCGTCGACGTACGGGAAGGGCGCGTGCGTCAAGGCGACCCCCCCCCCGACCTGGTCTCGGAGGTTGGCCGCGCGGCCGAGAAGTGGAGGTGCCACCAGGGCTCCAGTGTGCTCGCGAGGGCCCACGCCTTCAGCCCCGTTGAGCCCCATCAGGATGCCGCCGGCCGTGCTCCTCCTGCCGCGCCGCTGCCTGCTGCTGTTGTGTCGTCGTCGACTACGTCTAGCTTCTTGGAGGTTCCCGAGGCTGTCTTTGGGTTCGACGGCTGGAAGACGATCCACTCGAGCAGGCGCACGCGGTTTGGGTGTGATATTCTGCAGTATGAGGCCGAGGCCTTGGGGTTCAGCATTCACCATGCCTCGAAGGCCCTCGGAGCCCACCATCATCGCATGTTTTGCCTCGTTGACAACTTGGCTCTAGCCCTCGCTGTTGGCAAGGGGCGGTCGGGGAGCCCGCATCTCGCGCGCGCTGAGGCGGCTCTCTGGCGTCACCCTGGCATGCGGGCTGCGGCTGCTGGTCCGATGGGTGCCCTCTGAACGGAATGTCGCCGACAAGCCGTCGAGGGAGGGCTTCTTCGTCGGGCCGAGCTTCGAGGACCTCCTGGAGGGGCAAGTCGCGCGGCGGCCTCGTCGGGCCCAAGGAGGTGATCAAGACCGCGAGGGCTCGGAAGACCCACCCTGGGCCCTCCAGTCTCTCGCGAGGGAGTCTCTCAGTGCTGGAGGCGCCAGCCGTCTCGGCCTCCACGGGCAGGAATTACCACGATTGCGCCCAGAAGTTTCTGAGCTGGTGCCTGTGGACCGCGCGGGACTTCTCCTGCTGCGTCGACCTGGACACCGTGCTGGCGGTGTACTTCGTGCATTTGTTCCTGGACGGGTACGACAGCGCGACGGGCCGCACCACGCTGGCCGCCCTGAAGCACCATCTCCCCTCGATGCTGGTCGGGAGTCGGCCGCTGCCGCGGGCGTTTTCGGGCGCTGCAAGGGTGGGCGAAGCTCGCCCCGCCCCAGATGCGCCTTCCGCTGCCTCGGGTGGCGATGTTCGCGATTGTGGGCGTCCTCCTGGCGCAGGGCCGCCTGTCCGAGGCGGTGTTCGTGCGACTGGCCTTCGACACTTACCTCCGCCCGAGCGAGGCCTACCGCCTCACGGCCGCCTCGCTCATCGCCCCGCGCGTCGGGTCGAGGGGCGGCTACCAGCACTGGGCCATCCTGGTCAACGACGCAGCCAGCGGCAGACCTGGCAAGACGGGGGTGACCGACGAGAGCGCGATCGTGGACGACCCGTCGTTGTGGCCGCTGCTGGCCGCGCTGCGCGACGGGAGGCGGCCCGAGGCGAACTTGTGGACGTTCTCGCCCGAGCAGGTCCGCCAGGCCTTCCGAGCGGCGCTGGCGATGCTGCAGCTCGACGGCGAGCAGACGTCGCTGCACTCCCTTCGGCGCGGAGGGGCGTCCGACGATCTCCTATCGGGCCGTCGGACGCGCAAGGAGGTCAAGGACCGCGGGCGCTGGCGGACGGATCAATCCCTGAACCGCTATGGGAAGCGGGCGCGGATGCAGCAGCGGCTGGGGCTGCTCTCACCCGCGCTGGTGGACTTCGGCGACAAGGTCGAGGCCAGGCTGCTGCAGCTGATGGAGGTGACGGCGAGGACGGGCATCTTCCCGCTCCGCCTGCCGCCCCTGGTGCCCGCGTCGGCGCCGGCTGCAGAGAAGACTGCGCCCAAGCTGACCGATCAGTGGAGGTTCGACTGAATAGGCTGTGGCGGCGTGCCCGTTTGCGCGCCTCTGTTTTGCAGTACTTCGCTACATTGTGTATCTGCGTGCCGACTCGTGTTCGATTGGCCTGCGAGGATCGCGGGCTAGGAACAGTGGCCATCAACCTAGCCAGACATCGTGCAGAGGACGCCTCGGATCCTCGGGTTGTGCAGATGCTGCTGGGCTGGGTGCGATCATCGGCCGTCTCAGGGCTGTGGGCGTCCTTGCCGTCTGCGACCTGGCCCTCGAGCGGCGCTCGATGCCGCCGCCTGGGCGCCCCGCTTAAGGGCGCCAGCAGTGACGACACCAATCTTCGCGCCATTCGCGTGGCGAACGCCCTAGCAGCGTCTGCCCTTAAGTTGATTCGAGAGTGCACGGCTCGCCAGGTGCCTGTGATTTTCTGGCACCCAGAGTCAAGCCTGATCTGGCGACATCCGCTCCTTTCCTCGCTCCTCGCCTCTGCCTCCTCTCCTTGCTCTCTCGATCCCTGCATGTTCTCGGGTCAGGTTCGGCAGAGATTGTTTTTGATCGGATGGGGCGTCCGAGATCTCAATTGCCTGTCGCGCCGTTGCCTCTGCACCCTAGGCCTGCGTGACCGCGCTGGCCGCCGCCACCTTGGCGGCCTAGGGCGTCCTGCGCTGGATGCCGATGCGCGCTGCTCAGCTCGTGGGCTTCCCTTTCAAGTAGCCACTGCAGGCACTGACATGATAGTGGCCGCTGCTCGGCAATTATCTCGCGCCGCTAGATACAAGAAAATGTTTGGTCAATGAAGTGCTGCGGCTGTGGCCATTTGTTGTGACTAGCGTTGGTTACCGAGTCTGTGCTTCGAGGCTTGCCGCCACAAAAAGTACCCGGTGGCCTCGAGAGAGCCCCGCATACAGCGACTTGTCGGCATGCGTGGGTTTGCATGTGGCCGCACCTCCTTGCTCAAGTTCTTCCCTGGGCCCTCCCGCCCAACTTGAGCCGAAGATTAACTGTTTTGTGCTGCGCTGACCGAGTCTGTGCTTCGAGGCTTGCCGTTGCTCTCGTGCGCCGTCGCCCTTCTGCGCAAGAAGTACCCGATGGCCTCGAGAGAGCCCCGCATCATCATCATCATCATCATCATCATCATCACCATCATCAGCATCATCATTATCATTACCATTATCAGCATCGGCATCGGCATCGGCATCATCATCACCATTAACACCACTATCACCATCATCAGCATCATCCTACTCATCAATATCAGCATCATCATCAACAGCAGCATCGTCATCATCGTCAGCTTCATCATCATCAGGATCATCAGCAGCATCATCACCATCGCCATCATCAGCAGCATCATTATCGTAATCATCAGAATCGTCATCATCAGCGGCATTTATTCCCTACCTAGGCTCTGCCTAGAAGGGTTCTTAATCTGTTGGCTTAAAAGGGGCCGGGCAGTGGAAATCGCCCTGGGCGGTTCCCCCAGTCCCCTGGGAGCCAAGCAAAAGCAACAGCAAAGGTAAAGCAAACGCGCGGTTCCCCCCTAGTGGCGCTCCCTGGGTGAAGGCAAAAGCAACATCAAAGGCAAAAGTGAAGGCAAAAGCGAAGGCAAAGCAAAAGCATAGCATAGCATGGCATAGCATAGCGCAGCATAGCATAGCGCAGCATAGCATAGCATAGCCTAGCATAGCCCAGCATAGCATTGCGCAGCATAGCATAACAGAGCAGAGCAGAACATAGCATAGCATAGCATAGCATATCGCAGCACAGCATCCACTATTGCTGCTGCGACATATATATATATATATATATATATATATATATATATATATATATATATATATACACGTATATGTGTGCGCGCACGCATGTTCCATGCATGTTGTCCGTCTGTGGGCCATCTTGAGCCCTTTGTGGGGCAGCTTGAGCCCTTGGGATTCACGAAGGTTTCGCACATAGCACCGGCCGGGAGACATGAAACCCGACGTATTATCGCATGTCCTAAATGTCTTTCTATATATGCAAATATATGAGAGAACGCGCCCATAGGGCCCGAACAAAGAGGAGGGGGGGCTAGGCTGAAGCTACCCCCCCGCCCTTGAGCCGACCTTGTCGGAAGCACCCCCCCCCCCCACCGCTTTTTTGCAGGGGGGGGCTTACAGCTACCCCCCCTCCCCCCTTGGGCCCTCCCCGGAAGCTACCCCCCCCCCCTTTCCAAAAGGGGGGGGGTGCTTAAGCTACCCCCCCCTCCCTTGGCGCCGCCCTGCTGGAAGCTACCCCCCCCTCCCCCCCTTTCGTGCAAAGGGGGGGGGGTGCTTGGAAGCTACCCCCCCCCCCCCCTTTGGCCGCCCCGGAAGCTACCCCCCCCTACCCCCTTTCCAAAGGGAGGGGGGTGCTTAAGCTACCCCCCCCCTCCCTTGGAGCCGCCCTGCTGGAAGCTCCCCCCCCCTCCCCCCCTTTGTGCCAAAGGGGGGGGGGGGGCTTGGAAGCCCCCCCCCCCCTTTCCCCCCTTTGGCCGCCCAGCCCCCGGAGCCTCCGCCCTCCCTTTCGCCGACGATCCAAAATGAACAATCCACGATCGAGGATGGACGATCGACGATCAACGATCGACGATCGAAAATCCCAATCGAATCGCTTGCAATCGATTGCACTCCATTCCACTGCAATCCCCCTCCCCACCTCCCTCCGCTCCCTCCCCTCCCTCCCCACCCTTCGTTCCATCTCCTCCCTCCCCTCCCTCTCCTCCCCTCCCTCCCTTCCGTCCTGTCCCTCCCCTGCAATCCAATCGATTGAATCGATTGCAATTCAACCGATTGCAATCCAATCGATTGCAATCCAATGGATTGCAATCGAATCTTGCAATCCAATGGATTGCAATCGATTGCAACGCAAGTGTATCATTCAACTCGTCCCGTGCCAACGCCCAGGAACGAAAAAAATACTATTATGCTATACTCGTGTCATGGGCAAGTCAGGAATCCACAATATACAATCCTGGAGGAACACAAAAATACAATTCTACTCTACTCCTCCCTTTGCGACGCCCTCCCCTCGCTCCTCTTCCTACCCTCCGCACCCTCCGCCGCCTCCATATCCTCTCCTCCTTCCCCTCCCTCACCTCCCTCCCCTCTATCCCCTCCCTCCCCTCACTCCGCCCCCTCCGCTCCCTCCGCCCTCTCCCCTCCATCCCTTCCCTCCTCTCTGTCCCCTCCCTCCCCTCCATCCTCTCACTCCCCTCCCTCCCCTCCATCCCTCCCCTCCCTCCTGTCCCTCCCCTGCATTCCAATCGATTGTAATCAGATCGATTGCAATTCAACCGTCAACAATAATAACTCAAAGATCAACCAACAATGAAACACACACCAGGCCTACCAAAGTTCAACGAACGTCAAACGTCAAACGTCAACGAACACCTACAAAAAAACTCAAACGTCTTCAAAAACAACAAGAAACATACAACATTCAAACATCAACGAAAATCAACAAGAATACACCGAAAAACAAAACACAAAAATCAGTTAAAAGGTTTCAGACATCAAGCGTCAACAAAATCCACAAAAACCCAGACGTCGACATGCGTCAACAAAAAAAGGCCATCGAAGGTCGACACCCTTTGGAAGCTTCTCGGAACGTTCCTCAGATTCGTATTTCCTCCTCATCTCCCGACCTCCTCCTTCCCCCTCCTCCTCACTCCTTCGCCCTCCTCCACAATCCCACCAGCCCTTTAGGGCGTGAGTGGTTTAGCTCGCCCATATTCCCTTCTTCCAACCCCCTTCCTCCCCTTCGGGGGGGGGTCACCCCTCCCCCTACCCCTGCCCCCCCCCCGATAACGCCCGTTATCGCCGAAAATTTAAACAACGGCCTCCTGCGATGCAATCGTTCGAATCGATTGAAATCCAACCGATGGCCATCCAATTGATTGCAATCCAATCAATTGCAATCGAATCGGTTGCTATCCAATGGATTGCAATCGATCTCAATGCAACTGTATTATTTTACTCGACCAGTGCCAACGCCCGGAAGCGAACAAATACTATTATGCTATACTCGTGACATTGGGAAGGTCAGGAATCCACAATATACAATTCGACTAAGTTCCTCCCTTGACAACGCCTAGAGGGCCATAAACAATACGAGTCAACTATACTGTTCCCTTTGCAACGCCCTCCCCTCAGTCCCTTTCCTACCCTCCCCACCCTCCCCCGCTTCTATTTCCTATCCTCCTCCCCCTCCCTCACAAACCTCCCCTCCTTCCCCTCCCTCCCCTCCCTCCGCCCCCTCCCCTCCCTCCGCCCCCTTCACAATTATTCAATATGAATATACTCTCCCTCTTCCCCTGATGGCGTCCGGGTGATAGCCGCGCACCCTCCGCGTACTATTTTTTTTACACACAGGATGCCCGGGAAATCCCGGGAAACGATTCTCGCTGAGGCGCCGGCGTCATTTTTTCCCAAAATGCTGCTCTCGCGCCGGCGTCATTTTTTCCCAAAATGCTGCTCTCGTTGAGGCGCCGGCCTCATTTCTGCTCCCGAATCCTTCCCCGGCGTCATTTTTTCCCAAAATGCTGCTCTCGTTGAGGCGCCGGCCTCATTTCTGCTCCCGAATCCTTCCCCTGATGGCGTCCGGGTGATAGCCGCGCACCCTCCGCGTATTGTTTTTTTACACAGGATGCCCGGGAAATCCCGGGAAACGACTCTCGCTGAGGCGCCGGCGTCATTTTTTCCCAAAATGCTGCTCTCGTTGAGGCGCCGGCCTCATTTCTGCTCCCGAATCGTTCCGAATCGTGCTCCCGCTGCAGCGTGGGCCTCATTTTCGGATCGGTGTTTGGCCTCCGTCGTTCAGGATGGCGTTCTCGCCCCAGCGCGGGCCTTTTTCTCGCGCGCCCATCCGCCCGCCACCACCGCGCCGCACCGCCACCACCACCACCACCACCACCACCACCACCACCACCACCACCACCACCACCACCACCACCAGCACCAGCACCAGCACCAGCACCAGTACCAACACCACCACCACACCAGCAC